TTTCATTACTCTATTTCACATTCACAAGACTACAATGCAGCGTAATGCGATCCTCCACGTTTCACCAGAGGGAGGACTGACGGATAGAGAACTGATTGTAGTCCTGTTCAGCTGTTCTCAGAAATACTATTACATAGTTAGATTTTTGAATTATTATAACTGCTGTTTTACGCCGCAGTTCGCGTTGCGGAAGTTATCACAAGAATGCTGAGTTGTGGGCAAAACTTTCGCCCCAGCTGGGATTACGTAATCGGATCTCTTACTTTCCGGGTACCATTTCACCCAAACTCGGCCTTGTGTTGTTTGCGCGCAACTCACAAGGAATGGTCAATTGGTCGGTCCGGCCATTTGTAATGAGGTGTAGTCCGATGCACGCGTCTTGCGACGCTGAGCTCAAATCCGTTTTCGTTTTTGCCGAACGATTCTCTGAACGAAGTTACGAGGGATTCTTCTCACTGTGGCTATCTCACTGTGGCGCCTCTACATCCCTGTCCCACTCGGCTCGCATAAGAAGAGCCTCAGAGCGTCCACCGCAGTGAGTCTGGTGGTCTAGTGGATAGCGCTCTTGCTTCATAGGGTGAGAGTCATATGTTCGAATCCTTGTCCGCAGCAAACTTTTGCATTTTTTCAAGGCTGCTCATACGAGCCCAGAAAGCGTTTATAATTGGTTATTTTGTTATCGTTCTGTTCGTTCGTTCTGTTTTTACGCGAGCCAAGTGGGATAGGGGGATGTAGAGGGCGCCACAGTGAGATAGCCACAGAAGAATCCCTCGTAACTTCGTTCAGAGAATCGTTCGGCAAAAACCGAAAACGGATTTGAGCTCAGCGTCGCAAGACGCGTGCATCGGACTACACCTCATTACAAATGGCCGGACCGACCAATTGACCATTCCTTGTCAGTATTCTTGTGATAACCACATAATTCGTATTATTATATATTATATCATATAATTCATATTATTCGATCCTCCTAATCAGCAAGAATACCACGTAGCTATAACTCTTTTGGCAAAACCAGTCCCTATAAAACGACTTCTGTGACATGCTGTCCGTAACCGCTAGATTTCAGATTCAGAGGCACACCTCGTGATTGAATAGTTGATTCGGGGATGAAAGCAGATGTGGTAATTTGGTGATCAGCAGTGAAAGAAAGCAAATACAACTGCTAAGAACCCTTCAAATCACATTGAGTGCTAGTCATGGATCTGAGCCATGGTCAATTCTAACGATCCTTCAGCATCACCGACAGCATTGGAGAATTCTTCGCACGAACTCCTACGACCCACCACCATGGCTACCTCTGCAAGATTGAAGCATGTGTACCCCAACTTCGCCCGAAATTTCTCTCCAAAACTGCTGTTGTCGGAAGGGGGGATCTGTGTGAGGCTAGAGAAGCGGCGAATGCTGTGAATTCAACATCACAAACATTTCTTTCTCGAAGCAGTGGAGAAACACAAAGACCCACTTTTCCGTGTCCACTGCAGCCCAATCCCCCCCCCCCAACTTCCACCACTACTCTGGAAATCTCAAATACGACAACATCACTATAATCACAATATACAGAAACCTGAGATGTCTATCATTCCCTATCCAAGAAATCCCAAATACGACTCCCATTGGTCATTGCTCAACGAATGGTTGGCTATAGTGAAATCCCGTTGCCGCTCTACTTCCCATTGGTCGGGCAGCCTCTTTCACTTTAGGAAGATGAAGAGCCAACCACTGAGGAGGTGAGGGCGTTAACGGAATCCCACCCATATAGCTAGTGCTATGTGATTTTAAAGTTTATTGGCAGTTTTTGCTCTCATTCGTTGCTGTTTGACGGAAAGCACCACAAATTATTTCATTTTCAAAGGCAATAATCCGCATCCTATTCATTCGATGGAAGTGTCTTGAAAATAACATCGGCTATATCTCTCAAGTTGGCCACGTAAGAGCAATTTCTATGTGTCGCGGGGGCCCCCCCCAGGAGGCCCGTCGCGCGGCAAAAAGGCAAAGTCAGCGGACGAGTCGCGCGCGCACTATAGGGATTTCGCGTCAAGTTAAATAGAGTGTCCCATTGCACGTCCTACATCGCACACCACGCGCTGCAACTCGTCCGCCGACTCTGCCTTCTTGCCGCGCGACGGGCCTCCTGGGGGGTACCCGTGTCGCGGAGAATAGCCGGCTCACGTCTTCTTAGGGACATATCAAATGTTTTTTTTTCAGTTCAACGTACTCAGCGTCCAACTTTTTGATTTAGGGAATCGAACGTGGGTATTGCTAGACTTCGACCGTTATATTTTGGCCCAATGGCGACCGCGAGGTTCTGAAGTGATTTTCGGTGCTCGATTTGTGGAAAAGAAAATGCGAGTAGGAATGCAACTGTGCGCTTGGTGTGGAATGATCGAGCAACAGGTAAGAAGGCCTCTACACATATCATAGAGAATTTTTTGTGGAGCTAAAAAATTAAAAACGACAAGACCAAACCTGTACAGAAGGCGCGCATAAAGCCACTTCACGCGACATTACTTCGCTGCATATTCAATTATTCACTAACAAAACTAAAGGCACATCCCACGACCACGTTGTTGTGGTAAATCCGCTCAATGTGAAAGTAGGGTTGCGAAGAGGATCACCAGTGGCGAAAAATTGAAACTAATTGCAGTCAACCCTTCAAGGTAGATTTTGCTAGGCAGACGGACGCCAAATGTCCTGAGACACTGGCGCGAAGAGAAACAGATCTGGAGACGAGAGAGCATTAAGGATGAGCGTAGATAATAGAAAAAGCTGCTGGGAGCGAGTTGTGGGCGAGGGTTTTTTTGTGAAGGAAGGAAGGCTCTAGTGCCTCTACTGCTCAATTTAGTACTGCTAAGGCACTACATCTGCAAATTTCGTGGACCTTCATCATACCAGAAGGAACTGATCCACCTGAATCCATCGCAAAATGTGTTTAAATGGTCTAACAATTAGGAGCGCAAAGGTGGTTGTAAATATGCTATTTTTTCAAATTTTTTATTTAGCCCAAGCAATTCTCACAATTCATGAACGACAAAGCCGTATGTTCTCCTCAATGCTGGGAGCTATTGCAAGCATCCAAGAAAACTACTGATCCTCAAGCGAAATAAACTGTACTTGTATTGAATAAACATATCTTCATAAGATTTCAGTAATCTTTAGCGTTCGTTTACACTTTATCGGCCGACATTTCCTTACTTGTGCATTATTGTTCGCATGTGACTTATTAAGGTTTGGGCCAAGAGACTTTCTCGCCCGAGAGCGCGCAAACGACCAGAACACCTTGCATCCTCGAGAAGGCAAGAATTACTGCTAAACTCTTCAATTGAAGCAACATGTTTATAGTGGCTTTATTATTATAAATGCCTAGGACTCGTCTGCGCAAAAACAGCCTTTCTCTGCCCCTCCCTCTCTCCCAAAAATGGCTTTCTGTTGGATCTTTTCAATTTTCAACGCCGACCCTGGCCGTTCCACTGTTCTTCATATTGTCTTCTCCATATTGTGTTGTTTCTTTTCAGATAGCATTGTCAACAAGGGAACGATGATAGGTTGAAGTGGCCTCTGAATATACGATGTACCTTTGGTTGTGTCCTTGTCCGCAAATCTCGAAGCTGTATTTTATATCTTCTAAACAATGCCATAAACAGTGGAGCAGAGTGAAGGGTAGCCTAGTAGACAAGTGCCAGTCTTTTTTCTGAACCGCTGGAACTTAAATTCCTGGATACTGGTTTTTTCGGCTATTTTAAAACTGCTGCTCGAAGAAATGGGACTGCTTTCAACAGGGTGTGCGTCATATGGCGCGATCCCATTGGCATTGGAGCGCACAGGCCGTAATTACCACGTCCTGCTGTGGCCGGACAACTCGTCCGCGCAACACATTCTGTTCCGTTCATCTTGCCTTGGCATCAGGCCAACGAAGCTACCCACTCTTTTTTAGATCTTTGGGACTCAGCGAGATTTTGAGGTGCACCGAATTATTCATATTGATCATTGCTGAAGTCTAGCAGCTGTGTGATACAGGAGTGTTGTCCTGGATACTGTGCGCTCTAATGCCAATGGAATCGTCGTCATATGACCGCCTGCCCTTTCTACAATGCAATCATGATTTCCTCTGGTCGCCTGCTTCTTCGTTATACCAAAGATATTAAGGTCATTTTTGCTAAAACCTCTAAAAAGGACAGCTTGGTGTGGTAAAGATACGTTCCATAACCATTTCGAATGACAACACCGTAATAGCATTCTTTTTCTCAAAGGCACGGGTCGCGTAAGATCCTCAGAAAATCTTGTCCGTGGTGAGATAGCAGGATTCCTGAGAATAAGAATCGTGGCTCGCTCGCGATTCGAGGGTCACATACAAGGGCGCCAGAGTCATCCGTTGGCCGCTGCAACTGCTGCCGTTCTTACAGAGCATAGTGGGGTCTGCGCCCTCTTGTACGACGTGCTCTTTCGCATCCTCCCTTTTCTTGCAGGCAGTAGGTCTTTCCGCTGTACCATGGCCGACCTCACAAGATAGGAAGACCTTAGCTTCCTTGTTTTCTGTGATTTCTTGTTTTTT